TATAGAAAGCAAAACTTTCAGATGTAGTCACAATGGCAGGTGACCTTAACATTCAAGCTGAGTCAATCAGAAAGATGAGTTGAGGGTATTTATGGAAGCCTGCGTGAACGAACTGACAACAGCGGCTTTCTGTGGCCAGAACCATCTGACCAGAACTCACTTCAAGCATAAGACAGGACACTATTTCACATGGCGTCCACCGACATCGAGTCGACGATGAACAAAGACAGTTCATATCGCTATAACCCATCGTTGTAGGGGATGGGTTGAGGATTGTTGTCCCTACTGTAGTTGCTCTTTAGACTCGAATCATGCGCAAGTATGAACTCGTGTATATCTGCACCTTACTGGTCTTAGAAAATAGATAGTAGTAAAGCCTGTCTATAGTCGGTTGGAAGATGAGGATACCAAGTATGTATCTAGGGATGGGTTAGCTAAGCATTTATCTTAATATGACAGAAATCCTCATACCGGGGAAACCTAAAGTGATATTCGGTGTGCTGTATAAGCAGCAGTGAAGACAGTTGGTAGCCTACACTCAAAGACTAGCAAAGGTCATTGGATTTTCGTAACGCCATCTCAACTAAATGATGCCAGATGAATGATTCCAGGTGACTCTGACCATAATGAAGAACGAAAGCAACTCAAACGCAAGTTGACCGAGAGTATCACGTTGATTGCAAGCAGTGGTGGGTGGCAAGATTGAGAGAGATGGAGAAGGCATCAGCTTTGGGTAAAACTTGATAACTGTTTAAGCTTATTGAGGATATCGGAAAGAAGAAAACGATAGTCAGTGAAACCATCATCCAGAAGGATGAGATGCTGAAAACCTCACAGAATAGGCGACTATAACGTTAGGCTTAACACTTTGAGCCACAGTTAAACTGGTTCACAATAAAGCTTCAGTTTTCCAATATCTAGCCTGAAGCTGAATGGTTTGTAGATTTTCATCTCCGATTTGTCCTCGAAGTTTAAAAGACTGCATCAAACCTGGAACAGAGTGGCAGTTTGTCATCCGAAGTTTTTAACGATGAAGGTAGGAAATGGCTAACTAAATAAAAGACGAAGGAACCTGGTAGCGTATAGGAATCTGAGATGGTTCCATCAGACTGGTCTACTTCTCTGATCATCCCAGTCTATAGGAAGGGAGAGACATCTCCTAGCGAAAACTATAGGGGAATTAGTTTGACTATCATTGTGTCCAAGATCGTAGGGTCCATAGTTATCAAACACCGAAATGGAGAGCGAGAACAACAAACTCAAGAAAACCAGACAGGTTTCATATATATATGAGGACACACGGAGAATATCGTCACCCTCCGACAGGTCCAGGAACACATGCATACTTACCAGTGGCCGACCCTTGGCATACTTAATGACCTGAGGACGGCAGTTGGACCTATCGAACTTCACGTGTTGTGGTATTGTCTGACTGCAAATAAAGAGCACAGCAAGTATACAGTGCCTAATAAGGATATCTACTGGAACTGAGACAGCCGTGTAAGAGCTTATGGAGAGTTGTCATCAGAACCGAAGTTACGACAACTTGTGGTGTCCACCAGGGATGACCGCCCGCTGTCACCCTCCTCACTTAACTTCGTTATAAGCATACCAATGGATGTAACTTGAGATGTATCATACCTCATACGGACTGATCTACTCACTGGCGGTCATCTGGTTAACTTGGAGCATACGGATGATGTCGTGTTGGGTGATGATGCTAACAAAATGAGGGGTCTTCAGGACGCGTTGAGCAGAAATCTGAGCACTTTAGACTGGCATGCGTTTTGCATTTGTCAGATATAAGATGATGCTCCAGAACTGGTCTTTAATTACTCTTAGTTTAATGATAAAGAGTGAACTGGTGGAATGTGTCGACCACTTCACCTACTTGGGTGATCGTGTCGACCTGAACGGGCTGGTTTCTGACGAAATCTCAGCTCGGACACAGAAGACGCATCTGTCAATTGTCAGCCTGTGTCATCTCTGGTCCTGATGGAGGAGATATTCAACAACCAGTTTAAGAAAGAGTATACTACGCTGAAACTCGTAGGGTCCCGTTATACAACTGTGAAACATGGTTATTAAGAGTAGGCAATATGAAGAGTTTACAAGTTTTTGATCGTAGGTTTCTCTGTATCATTGATCAAGTATGGTGGAGTCTTCGTGTGAGCAATGCTGAGATTAGGCGAAGAGTACTGGGAAAGACAAATAAACCGGAGATGTTGTGAACCTTCCTACAGTGAGATGACTTGGACATCTACTGAGCACACCAAGTCACCAGCCACCTCGATGTGCCATTATAGGAGAAGCCGAGTTAGTTTGGAAGAGGGTGAAAGGTGAGAACACCAGGATGTGGACCAGTTGGTTAAGTTTCCCATGGTTGATCTGAGCTGTGGGGAGAGATGTAAAATGCCTTGTTGAAGTTCGCGGGACGAAAGTAACCAGCGGTTGAGGACTCTTGGTGACATAACCGAAAATCTGTCACAATGGCGCTACATGTATTCACTCCCTGACGCCTTCTAAAGCTTGAATATTTGCACTAATCTTTATGTTAAGATTGTTTATTCTCTCACACAACCTTTTATTTACCTTTGATATCAATCTTTTTCTATCCACCTGTTCTTTCTACACTACTGTGAAGTGTGGCAAGCTAAACCGGCGTATTGGTGTGCGAGACTACGTTGACTTTGTCTCTGTCCGTCTGTCTATCTATCCCTCCGTCTGTCTGCCTGCCTCTGTCCATCTGATATATCTGCATGGACCAAATTCTCAATTATTTGAAGACAATGTAAGTACAATCTCACTACTTTCGCCAACGTTTTGTTGCATAAAGTAAAATCTTTGACTAATTATTATTACCGTTTCAAGAGCATTATTCTTGCTCAGCATAGATTCGAAGAACGTAACTTAACCTGCCCAACACATGTTTTATGTTTAACAATCTGCAAAATGAAATGAGTAAAATTTAAGTTACAAGAAAAATTGAAAAAAATCCAGGGAACTGTGTTAACTAATCAGTAACGAACAAATTTTTACACCTCGCTTAATGAAACAACAAACTGTCAGTGATGAATAAAATTGCATCCACACACACTGAAATATGTCTGAGGATCATAATCACAGATCTTGATCATTTAGTGCTTCAGTATCATAATGCTACGAACTCACGCAAATTTTTTAATGCCAAAATCAGAGCTAAAATAGATAAGGTACTTTTAAAAGATCCCTCAGGTTTTCCTAAAAGATAATTTCATCATAGTAAGAGAAAAACAAGTGAGACAAAAGTGATTTGGCAGCGCCATCGTATTACGGTCCATCAAGAACACTTAATAACAACTGTGTTGAAACTAAAGTATTATCCCAAAATTTTAGTCAAATGTTCTCTGACGGCTGTAGTTGGCATACAACGTTTGTGCGAAATCACAATGCTCTGCATATGAAACAAGTGCACATCAAGAAGACAGTTGTCTCAAGACTATTCCGAAAGATCAACCCTAGTAATTAAAGCTGAAAGGACAGACCTACACTTTGGTTTACTATCAGCACTTGTGGATGTCATTGGAAAATACCAAGTATACCATTTAATTTCACTGAAACAATCAAGGTAATGAGAGGAATGGAAAGCTGACACCAATAGTCGATTCTATAAAATTTATTATAAGCAACTGGCGTCTAACTATCGTCCAAGCAGTTTATTTGTATATTGGTCAAAAATTGGTCCAGTGTAGTCCGCACTACTATTCTGACACAAGTGAAAGGGAGCTGGCTTTTAGTTACAGCATGGTTTCCAAGCAGGCCATTCTTGCTTGATAAGCATCTATGTGGTGAGAGAGGAGTCGGTGACTGCTGGATATACAACACAAGTAGAACTTAAATTTATAGATTTGGACAGAGCTTATGAATAAACTTATAACTTGTATACAGTGATAAAACTCAAAAGTTTCAGGAATGACGGCAACGTTTGGACCTAATCAGGGGTCTCCTCAGTGACGAAGAATAGATCATATAAGTGAATGGCACTTTACATTCTTTTAGGTAACTGAAAGGTTATGTACCACAGAATACTGCATTGGGTTCAGTTCTCTCCCGATTGTATTTAAATGAGCTACCTAGCCTGACTAAGTCCACTTTTGCTTGCTGGCAAAGTATAAACCTCAAAAGTGATATATGATGAGGAAAATGACTTAACTGCTCCAGTAAACTGGTCCACAAGATGATCGTTTAAAGTAAATTTCACTGGAAGCTTTTTCATGCTGACCGACCATGACTGTCCACTTGGGTACACGATCAATGCCATATCCCTGTCTACAGTTGCTGAACATAAGTACTTAGAAACCACTGTCGGTCGTAAACTTAAAACTGCTGTCAACTGTATGAAAACAACCTTCAGAGGTTTGTACATCTTATGGCCCTTACAAAAACACTTCCAGAGATTTGATGAGGATATCCTTCGGATTTCATTTCAAAACATGTAGGACCTATTTAGAGTTCTGGATCCAGGAAGCAAGCCCACACTTCAAATACTAAACATTTTTCGGTTTATGGCCTAATTATCCTGGAGCATAAATTAAAGTCTAGGTTATTCGAGAAACGAAAGTGTGAATAAAAATAACGAGCCCAGATATCAAAACCAAATAATACTGACAAATAAAGTCGGGTTAGTAGGAAAAGTTGATCGTTAATATTTTAGTGATCCACCTTGGTTTTACGTATCTATTCTAAGAAGCCCCTACAAAATATTCCCTGGATTTCATCCATGTACACATCTACAGGGTGAAATACATGATTTCTTTTTCATCGCACTTAATAGAATGGAAGTATAATGCCTTCAAAATGCATTAGAAGGCCATAAAACTGATTCATTCACTTCGTTTCAACTTCTTAACAAGTGTAACTGTGACACAACTGCCCCAAGTCTTCTTCAGCAACAGTGAAAGTAAAAACGTAGTACTGGTCTGAAGGACTACATTCAAGGAAAAGATAGTTTTATAACTCACATCTCTTGAAGTCTTTTGGTCGTCTGAATTTCTGCTACTTGACTTCTTTTCACTAATTTGATCGGTAAATCCGGTTTGCTTTGGTTTAAGCGGCGCTTTTAAAGCTTGTACCCTTGTAGAAACATTTTGTGAGTATAAGTCATCTCTTATTAGTTGGTTCGCAGCATTTACTCTTAACCTGTTGGATTCCAAGCGGCCTCGATACAGTTGTTCAGATGGCTTAATTGACTTTGGAAGAATTTCACAACGTTGAGCCATATCTTGGGAATTGGATATAAAATTTGAAGCCATAAAATTGTCGTGTGTACATGAAGGCAAATTTAACTTTGTTCTTCGAGGAGATTCAGAAATGTAAGGATTTAGACCTGAATAGTGAGTCCCTGGTGAGATTAAAGCTCTTTTTGGCGGCGAAAGGTGATCAGTAAAATCGTTCGTGATAACAGGCTTTGAAAAAGTCTTCTTAAATGGACTATATTCGTATTCTGCTTGATCATCTAGGTCTGACGTTGTTTGGTTACATGATTCAGGACTGCTGTTATAAATAGGGGAATCCTGACGTACAGGAAATTTGCTACGTAACGCTTTTTGTCTCCTGTTGTTAGCTGGACGGTAAAAGCTTCGAAAATCTTTGGGAACAAGTGGTTCATTTTTAAGTTGAACAGCATTTAAGTGAATCCGATTAAATGGTTTAGCATTCGGTGTGACTGATGGCCGTTTTTCACACTGAGGGCTTTTATCAGAAGACTGCACCCCATTTTTCTGAGTAACTAGATATGCCAGGTTATATTTGTATTCATCATCGATGGTCAGCTTTGAAAATTTAGTAACGAATAGATGTTCAAGAGGCGTTACATCCAGACTAGAACCATTTAGAATACCATAGTTTGGAATGACATAGTTCGCTGGCATTTTACCATAATTTCCATTGCCACTGACCCTATTGTAATGCATCACGCGTCATTTCATTAGGCAGTAAATATATTTAATTCTGAACAACTTTTGAAGGTTGTAATTTCATACATTATAAGAAAAACAATTGTATACCTTACTCTACAATATCCAATTTTCTCTTGAGAGCTACTGCTAACCAACTTACTTCTCCTCGATCTCCACCAGGTCATGCGAAACGGTTACATAACTTCGATGGATTCCGATGCAGCATGTTTGCCCATTTGCCTGCTGTAACCCTGGTTAACCCGACGGGTGGTTGGGTGATGATGAAATTTTAGAGATTTTATGGTTTGTCCTAGAATTGTGGTCCAGATAGGTGCCTCAGATTTGATGTTGCCAGGTAGTTGTTCAGGCTGGTTGTAAAAGGAGGGCAGAAAAGACGTCCAGAGTAATCAAGGGAATGGAATTGCGAAGAAAATCTAAAAATGAACGAGATGAAAGACAGCGCAGCGGAATGGAAGTGGATATCTTAGTAAATCCACAGAAGATGGGCGGTTGAGAGAACCTTTTCAAATAGTGTGAGGTCATAGAGTCAGAGCAAAGACAAGGAGGGACTAAGGTTAGAGGCCGTTTTATGGGATAACTTGATGTTTCGTAAGCGGTTGTCCAGTCGCCGCGTAACCCACGGTAGCTAAAAGAGTAAAGCCCTAGGTCTTTTAGTCCATCTTCATAAGGCTTTTGACCCAGTCCAACGACATCTTTCGTTCCTCGCCCCTGGAATTTCCCCAGGAGACTCGCATATCTTATAGGTATGGTGGTGCAGTGACGTTCTGAAAATATAGGCTAGGTCTCCTAAAACCTGCAGCGTCACACACCTCACCAAATCAATAGCCTAGGGTTTGATGGCTTTTGACACTGATGCTGACCTTGATAGTTTAACTGGACTCGTTAAGCTGAAGGCACTCGGTCAAGCATCCTCGCCATTCGGCACGCTGTCGTGTCACGTTGCATTGCTCATGCTCGACTCTCTAGCCAGTTAGTTGGAACGCATCGGTATCTCGGCACAACCATCTAAATATACTATTCCATCCAACTACGCTATCGTGTTCTTCCTTGATCCCGTATTCGTGGGTATATAACAAGTCCGAATAATTAGTGATTACTCTTTGCGTCTTTCAAGTTCGCATCAGGACAAATCCTAAATTGATGAGCCTGACGTGGTCACATGTCCCAACCGATAACACATACTGAATTGCTGAGCCTGTTCCATTTTATGTTTGTATATTGTTTTTATTTCAACAACATTTATGCACCGCTTCACTACACTTTCTCATGTCCGACCACACTCCCAACCTTATTAGTATTAAGCCGACTACAAACACGATCCAGTTCGTGCCATATTGGCCAGACAATGCGAGAACATGGCTTTTGTATGCCAAGGCCGATTTTCGAGGACAGGGTGTCTCAGATCCTCATTCTCGATCTCTTGCCGTCATACTCTCACTACCGTGGGAACTAAACAAACATGTTACGGCACACATGTTTAATCCTGAAGAAAGTAATCCTTACGCACTTCTCAGGGCCGCAGTCTTGAAGAAAAGCGATTCCGCAGATCGCCAGCGTCTAGACGAATTATTTCGTAACATCGAACTAGGCAGCCACTCAGCTACTGAAGTCCTCGCACGCATGCGAGAAGTAGTCAGCGCACAAACATCCGACAATGGACTTTTCTGAGAACTATTTCTCTCAAAACTACCACAACCGATGCAAACCGTGTTGGTGACACTGCAGTCAGTCCCACTCGATGACCTGGCAGCCTTGGCAGATAAAATACTGGAGATTTCTAGCATACCCGTCTCCAACATATATTCTGTCTGCGACAAACCAGAGAGCCAGAATTCAGAGTTGACCAAGCTGTGCAACTCTGTTGAACAGCTGCTGCAACCTCGAAGTGCTAGTTCAAGTAGAACTCCATAGAAACGCGTCTTAGTGCATCGCAGCAACTCGTGTGGTTGCCACAAAACCAAACCTAACAGTATGGAAAACCCTTACTGGTGCTGGTTTTATAACACTTACGAAGACGAAGCCAGAAAATGTTGGAAACCATGCAGTTTTAACAAGGACACAAACTCGGGAAACGGTCACGCCGGCACATGATCACGGCAACCCTAGCCATCGGAAACAGTCATTTGCTCTACGTCACGGATATTAAGGCGAAATTTCGCCACCTCGTCGACACCGGCGCAGGAGTTGGAGTTCTTCCCGCACCGACAAAGGAGCGTCATAATGACCCATCCCTCGATCTCTAAGCAGCCGACGGCAAGGCGATCGCGACATTTGGGAGACGGTATGCCTATCTCAACTTGGGTCTACGTAAACCTATCCACTGGATTTTCCCCCTGGCTGACGTCTCTATGCCCACCATTGGCATAGATTTGTTAAACCATTACGATCTACTCGTAGATGCTAGCCGTCGATGTCTGATAGATAACAACACGAAGTTATCTGTTGGCGGCACCACCCACGTAGGTCCGAGTTTGGCCATCGTTAGAACCAGACAGTCGGGCGACGCATCCTACCAAGCAGTTTTGGAGAAATATCCAGAGTTGCGACAACCGAAGCACACTCTTCCGTGCATAACCAGCAATGTTATGCATCACGTCACAACCACAGGTCCACCTGTGGCATCCAAATCACGCCGTCCAGCCCCCGATAAGCTCAAAACGGCCAAAAGGGAATTCGACCACACGCTCGAACCGGGCATTATCAAACCGTCAAGCAGTCCTTGGGTATCACCATTGCACTTGGTTCCCAAAAAGAATAGCAACGGCTGGCGTCCAGCTGGTTATTACCGAAGGCTTAATGCCAAAACAAGGCCGGTGGATAGCCCAATTATCGAAATTTTTGACGATGTGCCTGGCAATGCACAACGACCATCGGCGCAAAAGAAAATACGATCGGGCCGAACCTCCAGGTTCTCGAAGTATTTAAAGTCATATTCAACTTAGTGGTGTGAAGTAAGACGCGCCAACCACACCGTTTTTACCTACAAATTTTTTGCCGGGGCACTATTTTTCTTATTTATCGGCAGTGCGCGAATCCTCGTACATTTTGCCTTTCTATGTCAGTTTTTTCATTAACATGTTATGAAACGTTTTTTAAAAAGAGGTGAAAATAAGCGTTAACTTTCTTTTCGATATGTTTGTTCATACATAATTCCCATGTTTATGAAGCGTTTCCGTTGTATTAAAGACTTTCATTTATATTCCAGGTTCAACGAGCACTGGACGGAACATCAAAGAAAAATGGATACTGCGATCGACGAACAATTCTATTTACTGTATTTTATTTTTTAATTGCCACGGCACCCTAGAATAAGTTCAGACAGCCAGTGGCCACTTCACGCGGCGAGCCCATCGGAAGAGTTTTACCAGTGGAGAAACCACTGGGTCTTTACTTCCGGCTGGTATCGTCTTAGAGTCCTCACGAACCCACTGGGGGGAGAGTGATCTGTAGCGTCACACAATCCCCCAAAATCAGTAGCCTAGGGTTTGACGACCTTCGACGCTGATGCTGACCTTGATAGTTTAACTGGACTCGTTAAGCTGAAGGCACTCGGTCAAGCATCCTCGCCATTCGGCACGCTGTCGTGTCACGTTGCATTGCTCATGCTCGACTCTCTAGCCAGTTAGTTGGAACGCATCGGTATCTCGGCACAACCATCTAAATATACTATTCCATCCAACTACGCTATCGTGTTCTTCCTTGATCCCGTATTCGTGGGTATATAACAAGTCCGAATAATTAGTGATTACTCTTTGCGTCTTTCAAGTTCGCATCAGGACAAATCCTAATATTTGGAGGAATATCTCTGCACTGAGTGCACCCATTGGTCTGCGCATGGAGTGCAGTGTGTGTACTCGCTGAAAGCATATCCTGGATAATTGTAGCTAATGTCTAGCTTGTCAGTCACTTTCTGTCTCACATTTTTCTGTGATGCGGGAAACTTACATTCCTTAGCGAAAGTAGGATGTTTTTAGAGTCAGTGGGTGCGGAGGAACATGGTTCGGGACATGCCCTGATTAAATGCCAGTCCTGTGTTATCCATCCTCCCTGCAAGCAATCTCAGATCGCTCTGCAGTGCACTTACTTCCGCTCCAGATATCACGGATCCCCATAACTCAACGCCGTCGGCATAAGGTAAAATCGGGGAACCAAGGCTCAGCGACGGGCCATTCACAAAATGTAGGGATGGCATTGAATCCAGAATTGGACTTCGTGATACACCAGATGATGATGTCCTATTGACTTCAGTGGAGAATTCTCTGCCGTCCAAATGGTCCTGCACACTTGACCTCTGATACCCAACTTCGATATTTCGTAAATGACAGTGGCGTGTGAGGCTGAAAATCCTCGACAGAATACTGGAAAGTCACACGAACAGGGGATGGAGGTCCTAACATGCTGTTCAGCTACCATCGAGTGCCAGAAGCTTTGAGGCACGGGACCTAAACTTTCGGAAACTGGGGTCACCATCACTTGCTGATCCCTTCTTGACCATGCATTCTCCGACATAGCCGTCTACAAGGTTCCTCACTACTTGAGACAGCACCGGAAGAGGTGCTGTGCGCAGAATACATTTCGGGTTTTGTCATTCTCTTCCTTTGAAGATGTAAAACAGGGTGGCACACTTCCCCATGAAGATGTTCGACCGTACTTTATCATTTTTCATATTCTGAGTTTTGATGACATCTGGCGTTGATCCAGATGGTTGTTAGCGTTCTAGTTTGGCCACTACATTGCTTCCCCCAGAGCCAATGATTGGTGCGCAAACGTTTCAGGTGTATGGCATTGCTCAGTAGGCAATTAATGGAGTGCTGCGCCACGTGCCTTTCCAGATTAGATAGCCTAGATTTTGACGAGATTCATCATTGATGCTGACCCTCATGGTTTTATTGAACTCGCCGAACTGAGGGCACATGGTCAAGCATCCAGGCCAATTGGCACGCCGTCGCGCTACTGTGCGCTGCTCGTAACAGACCCTCTAGCCAGTTAGTTTGAACCTATCGATATCTTGGCGCGGCCTCGCAAATATACCACTGCATCCGACCACTCAGT